AAATAATGTATGCAATGCTCTTTGACAAGCCTAAAATTCCATATGTATGTCAGTTAGTTATGACAATTATATGTATTGTCTTTTATTGTACTAGGAATTATATGACAAATTCTGTTTTCTATAATTCTATCAATTAGAACTATTCATTAGCATTCCATACTTTGCTAAAATAATGCTAATTGATATGCATATTGATGATACTGAGGCCTTGAAATATTATAGAATCATATCCTAGGTTTCAAGGCCATAAGAGCTCAGATCTAGAGCTGGAAGGGACTTTGGAAATCATCTAGTACAACCTCCTTCAATTTGCAAGGCCCAGCTTTGACCCACATTCTCTGACTTGGAATCTAGCATTCTTTCCACTGAACCATACGTGCTGCTTTGTAAACACCTCCTAAATCATCATGCCAATCTTGAATTTTGTCTTCCCTTGGTTTTAGTGGTAAGAACATTTTATAACATATATTCTATTTCTTTGAAACAGTTAAAGGCAGCCAGAGGCACTGGGTCTGGAGTAAGGAAGACCTGAGTTCAAATCCATTCTCAGACACTTCCCTAGCTGTGTGACCCTGGGCAAGTCACTTAATCTCTGACTGCCTGACAAAATGGATCCACTAGAGAATGAAATGGCAAACCACTCCAGTATCTTTGCCAATGAGTCAAAAAGGGTTGTATATGACTGAAAGAACTGAACAACAACAAAATTTCTCTGAAAAATTTAAATCCAATATCATTATACATAACTTTCTGTTTGCCAGAATGGCCCACCCCCAACCAGTTTATAGTGTTCCTTTCCCCACCACATTTTCCCAGGTGTCTTGTCCAGTAAGGCAGAACGAACACCCGGCTAAAGCTCATTATCATCATTGTATGAATGAAGTTTGAAAAGTTACTTATTAAAGCAATATTATTTAAAGATCCTCCACTGAATGGACATATTTTTTTTTTACGGGAAATTGGGCAGGAATTTTCCCTAATGTCCTCTTTGCCACTCTAGAAAAGGAAATAGTCATATAAAAATTTTGCCCATGAATTAAATTGTGCCTATGACCATCTGTTCAATAATTAAATTATTTATGTGTCTCATCTGATGAGACTCTCAGTCTCCCCCACTGCCTATCTGAGTAACAGATTTCTACATCTCAGCACACTGAAACAGCAGGGACTTGATATCAGACATGAGTTGGTAAGAGAGGAAATAGGATGAAATGTAGGCAGTGCAGAGATCCAGGACATCTGGCAACAAAAAAAGCAAACGGAGAAGAGGAAGGGGACAGGAATTTGTGCTTGAGCTACTCAGAATCCAAGGAGATTTCTGGGCATGGGAACATACCACCTAAAACAACCACAAAAAATAGAGAAAAAAGAAGCAATGATCCCAGGTTGTTAAAGACATAGCATGGACCAATGCCGAGGAATGAAACAAAGACAAACTCCCCACAGCCAAATGGGAATGTCCACAAGACACAGCCAGTTCAGGAACAAGAGGATTTGTCCTCAGAAGACAGAAGGGATGAGACGAGCAGCAAAGTAAAAAGTCAGGGTAGACTTGCACTGAGTTCCATTAAAAGCATAATATATCAGGGAAATAGGCAAAATTTCTGCCTGCTGGGAAAGAACACTGGAAGATAATGCTCTTTTTGGCCATTGTTTTTACAAGGGTTAGACTTACACCCATCCCTCTATCACACTGCTCGCTCTGAATACCATCGAAGACATGTTAGTAAATCACTACCCCGACTTAACAAGTCACACAGGCGGCTGGCACTTTTCCTTCAAGCTCTTTTCCGCAGATTTATGCTTCGGAACAGGAGGCCCATAAAACAGCTATGGTCAGTTGTTGCCTTCAGCCCAAATACACATACACGTTCCTGTGTCCTCTGATCCATTAAGGGGATGGGCAAATCACTATTAAGTTGGGTGCCTTTGAACAAAGAACCACACTCTTCATATAGTACAAATACAAACACACAGTAAAATTATATTTATTTTGACTATATTTTGCATATATATATATATATATACATATATATATTTATATGAGGCAGCTAGATAGGGCAGTGGGTCTGCAATTAGGAAGATCTGAGTTCAAATACAGCCTCCGACATTTACTAGTTGTGTGACTTTGGGCAAAGGTTGTATTATTCAACTCTGTGCCTCAGTTTCTTTATCTATAAATGCTAGTTATCAGCTATAATTATACTTTATTATACATACATAGTTATACTGTGACATTTAAAAAGTTCAAGAGACAGTTTCTAGGTAATTAAACATTTTTATTAATAATGGTAGTATGTTATTAATAAAAGAGGTCAGTGGCACTCTTGATTGCCAAAGACCTCTAATGGCTCACAGTTTATATGCCCTTGGAAGAGTGGGTGCTCCCAAGAGTGGCAATTAACTCTGATTGGTTAACAGTTAATGAGAAAGAATGAGTACTACAATAAGAGGTGGGCTATATTACAATGAGGGTTTTGGGGTATGTGACACTGAGCACCCAAACACTGGTCAAAAGATTTATCAATTTCCACATCACCTGTCTGACAACAGGGAGGATCCACATTTTCCCAGACCTGTCTGAATAAACACAATGAGCAGGAATCCATCCATCTGTCTAAATTTAGAATTTCTTTTACTGTCTTTGATTAGATCTTAGCAAAGGCTAAGTCTTTGCCCAAGATTTCCCAGACTGGTTGATTTCTAGAAGAGGAAGTAGAAAAGGGGAAAAACCCTGGTCCTAATTCAATATTAGCTATTAATACAAGAGAGAAATAATTATCTCTCAATACTTATCATAAAACAGTATATGTTATACTTACTATACACATACATACAGACACACACACACACACACACACACACACATAGTTGTTTCTCTTAATAGAGCAGAGACTCCTTGAGGGAAGTGGCTGGGGTTTTTTATCTTAGCACAACACTTGACACAGGGTAGGCATTTGATAATGTTTGTTGATTGACTGATATCCTCAGCTGTAAAATGAAGAAGCGGGACCATATGGCCTCTGGGGTCCATTAAAGCTCTACACTTATGATCCTACAACACCTGGTACCTCACAGGGTTGTCACAAAGATCAAATGAGACAATGTATGTGAAATATTTTGGAAACCTCAATGTACTATACATTGGCAACTAGGTATCCTGGTAGATAGTGTGCTGGGGCTGGAGTCAGAAAAACCTGAGTTCAAATCCTGCCTCAGTCACTTAGTAGCCATGTGACCTGAACAAGTCACTTAACCTCTTTTTGCCTCAGTTTCTTCAGCTGCAAAATGGAGATAATAATAGCTCCTACCTCCCAAGGTTGTTATGAGGATAAAACGACACAATATTTGTAAAGTAGGGTAGACAGGTGGCACAGATAGAGTGCCGGCCTAGAGTCAAAAAGACTCGAGTTCAAATCTGACCTCAGACACTTACTAGCTATGTGGTCCTAGGCAAGTCACTTAACCTTATTTGCCTCAGTTTCCTCATCTGTAAAATGAGCTGGAGAAGGAAATGGAAAACCACTAAAGCAACTTTGCCAAGAAAATCCCAAATGGGGTCACAAAGAATCAGTCATGACCGAAAAATGATTAGACAACAATAAATTTGAACTTCGCAAACCTTAAAGTGCTACATAAATGTTATTATTATTACTTATACTACAAATACTAGTTATTTTTATAAATATACCTCTCATAATTCCACAGGCCTGAAAATAATTTGGAACCAATAAAAGAGGAATACTGAACTCCCACAGGTGAATTTTACACATATGAGGAATGTATACCTGATGAAAAAAGCAGGTACTGAGGAAAGAAAATTTCAAAAGGCAACTCAACAGATGACAGCTCAACATATGGTGAGCGTATTTGTGTTCCAGTAAATGTTGTGCCTATTTTCAGGGTATCAGAGAATGCTGGCTTTTCCCCCACTGGGCAACAACAATATTTCATTTTGGAGTTTATATGTCCTTGGTAGAGGATATTTGTCTTCCTAAAAATAATTCATCTCCCAACATACTCTGGTGCAACTAGTGGCTATGTCAAAAGAAAACTGTTCATTCTTGTAGCTATGAATCAAGCTCAGAGTGGTTCCAACAGCCCTTATTTTCTTCTGAGTATAACTGAACCCAATCACTGGGTCAGGGGGAGGAGATAAAATTCTCTGGGAAACCATGGCAAGTCAGCCACATGCTTCTGGCAGAGAAATAACTGAAACGGAACGTTCCAGGTTGGCAAAAGTCTTCAGCTGCTTCCTAATGAGTAGGTACTGATACAAACCATGGCTACTCCTTATACCCCAGGCAAAAGCTATGGGTAACAATCCTAACAATCTCAGATTGATATGGCACCTTGAGGCTTACAAAGCACTTCTCTGAATTTGTTTTGCTTGACTTTGTGAATTTGTTTTAAAACGTTGCTTTTTATTTTTTTTCCCCCAGTGAGTGGAAAGGTAGGAGGGAAAGAAAGTAAAAGTTTGCTAATTGAAAAAAAAATGGACAAAACAAAATAAACCAAACCGCTTCTTTATCAGCTACTAGAGGCAACTAAGTGGTGCAGTGAATAGAACACTAGGTCAGTAGTTGGGAAGATCTGAGTTCAAATCCAGCCTCAGGATACTTACTAGCTGTGTTACCTGGGGCAAATTGCTTAACCTGTCTGCCTCAGTTTCCTCAACTGCAAAATGGGGACAATAGTAGCAACCTACCTCCCCAGGTTATTGTAAGGGTCAAATCAGAAAATATTTGTAAAGTGCCTGGTACATAGCAAGGTGCAGAACCTGCAGCTCAAGGCCACACGTGGCCTTCTAGGTCCTTGGATGCGGCCTTTTGACTGAATCCAAGTTTTACAGAACAAATCCTTTTATTAAGGGAGATTTGTTCTGTGAAGTTTGGATTTAAAGGGCTACACTTGAGGGCCTTGAGGCCACAGGTTCCCCACCCCTGTAAGTAGACACTTAATAACTGCTTATTCTCTTTCTTCTGGAGTAACAAACTCACCTTTCACAGACAACAGGCCTCGACTCATTCAGGACAGGACCCAAGGAAGAGCAGGGCTGCCTTGGGGGTGGAGCGATGGGAACGCTGGCATCCAGTGAGCTCGTCTTTCTGTGAAGCGCCTCTAGGACTGCTGACGTTGGGCTGTCCCCATCCACGGGACAGGACCCAGCCCTGCCATGACTGCCTCCTGGGGGGAGCTCAGGTCCCATGGCCCCCTGCAGGGCCAGCTCTGCTGTACCCTGTTCCACTTCCAGAGTTGGGGAGGCTGGAGGAGAAGCTCGAGGTTTCCGTTTGGTGGAGGCACCAGAAAGCAACTTCAGCAGACTTCTCCTTTCCTTCTGTAACAGACATATTAGTTTTAGTCTGGCATTATATTTGCATAATAGGATTATACATTGAGGGCAGCTAGGTGGAACAGTGGATAGAATGCTAGGCCCCCTGGGCTCAAATCCAGCCTCAAACACTTACTAGCTGTGTGACCCTGGGCAAGTCACTTCACCTTTTTGGACTCAGTTTCCTCATATGTAAAATGAGCTGGAGAAGGAAATAGCAAAGCACTGCAGTATCTTTTGTCAAGAAAACCCCAAATGGAGTTACACAGAGTTGGATATGACCAATATAACAATAACAAAACAAAAAAAAATTATAAATTGAGAGCTGGAAAAGACCTCAGAGCTTATTTGGTCCAATCCCCTCCCTTTCCAGATGAAGAAAATTAGGCCTAAGTTTAAGTGACTTGCCAAAGGGCACATGGGGCAATGTCAGAGGTGAGATTTGAACCTAGGTCCTCCGACTCCAATTCCAGCATTTTCCACCATATCATACTGACTTACAGGATTTGCTACTCTCTCTAGTTCCCATTCCGTGTGTGTGTGTGTGTGTGTGTGTGTGTGTGTGTGTGTGTGTGTGTGTATGTAATATATATGTATATACACACACACACACAAGATAGTGGTATACATATAATATATATGTATATATCTTGTCATTTATTTGCCCCTGATCTCTCCCTTTCCCTCTCTCTCCACGTTTAATTTAGTTTTAAACACATCAATTATCAAGAGACTGATGGTCTTTTTGTGGGATTTTTCCATGTCCTTTGCATCTCCTTTCTCCTGATTTTGGCCATCTGGTTACTCATTAGATTCTCATTCCTAGGAAGTACTCCTTAATTGAGGCATTATTCACTAAGTCATTGTAAAATTCCACATTGGCTTGCATGTACTTGATCCTATTTGTACTGTTTACTTCTCATTTGGCCTTTTGGGGATCTATAAATGTGATACTGAAAATTTCTGTCTTTCTGAATTTAATTATAACTTCTCTGGCACACAGAGAAGTGCTTAATAAATGTGTGGTAACTGATCTTCTGATTGATTACAACCTAGAATACCATCAGTTTTTAAGAATGTTAATGTTCACAGATATTTAAAACATGTATATTCCACATATTTTTCCATTAAGTTCTCTCCATTTCTCTATCAAATCTAATTTCTTTGACACTCTGTCCAATGTTCATTAGATTCTTCCAAAGGATGGGGCAGCTAGGTGGGTGCAGTGGATAAACTTCTGGCCTTGGAGTCAGGAGGACCCGAGTTCAAATTCTGCCTCAGACATATGACACTTATGAGCTGTGTGACCCTGAGCAAGTCACTTAATCCCGATTGCCTCACCCTCCCCCCCAAAAAAAAGATTCTTCCAAAGGGAACAGGATAGCAGAAATACAAACCGGTCATGGCAGTAGCACTCATTACAGGCTTGTTGAGGATGGAGGTATTTTTAGATTAGCAATGGATTTCTTTTGTCCATGCTCATTCTATCTCCTATCATAAGGTGTGCCCGACAGTTTGCTATTATTACTAAACCTGAACAATATAACCCCTTGGCTCTGTCATTCACAGACACTGACAGTGAAGTGTCAAACCAGGACAAGCAACTTTTTGCTTTTATAAGGTCGCTGCCTGGATTATATTATTTATTAATTCTTTTTAAAAATATAAACAATGACAAAATTAAATATGGAAGCAAAATATTAAAAACCGTATCATGCATAACCCATAAACTGCCTGGATTAAAATGAATGAATTAAAATAAAAACAATAAAACTTTCATTTTCATCTTTCTAATTAGGGAAGTGAGCCATAAACCAGATGATTAGTTGCCTTTCCCATTTTTTTTTAATTAGAGGCATTGCAGGGCAGCAGAATGTCCCTCTGAAAGATATGGGATGTGTGACTGAGTTAGTCAGTTTCTTTTACTTAATAGTCTTCCACGTCATGCCCAAGTCTCTGAACTGGACTCTCTTCTTCCTCTATACTTTTTCATTTATTTAACTCATTAGTTCTCAAGGGTTCAATGATTTTCTCGGAAAATGGTTCCCAGATCTCTTTATATAGCCTTAACTTCTCTGCTTAGCTCTTGTCCTTCATCACTAACTGCATTTTGGATATTATGAGTGCTTATACTCATATGATATAATATACTCATAAGTGCTTATAAGCACTTATACGACACTAAGTGCTTATAAATATAATGCACCTCAAATGCAGTATGGCCAAAACAGAACTCAATACCTCCCCCTCACTCCCAATCCTTCCCTCTTCCCAACTTTCCTATTACTGTTAAGGGACCATCATCTTCCCAAATCATTCATAGTTACAATTCAGGTGTCATACTCAATTCCTCACAGGTACTTAGCTCGCATTACTCCATCTGTTGTCAAATCCTGTCATTTTATTTTAGCCTTCACAACATTTCTCCTATCTAAACCCCCTTCTCCCCATTCCCATCACCGTTATATAAATATAAACCCTCATTACTTCATGCCCAGGCTATTGCAACAGGCTTTTCTAGATTGTCTTTCTGACTCGAGTCTCTCCCTTCTCCAATATATCATTCAGTCAGCTATCCAAGTAGTTTCCCTCTACTCATAAACCCCTATGGCTCCCTATTACCTCCAGGATCAAATACATTAGATGTGATTATGCATTTACATAATAATGATGATGTTAATAATGATAACAGGTAGCATTTATATAGTGTTTCAAAGATTGCAAAGAGCTTTACAAGTATGATCTTGTTTTATCTTCAATACGAACCCTGAGACCTAGGTACTCTTATTTTTCCCCTTTTTACCATGGAGGAAAAGGAGGCACAGAGAAGTTACGTGATTTGCCCAGGATCATACAGTTAGTAATTGTCTGAGACCACATTTGAATTCAGGTCTTACCTATTTTGTATTTTATTTACTTGTCTATCAGGCTTATTTACTTATCTAGTCTATAAGTTCCTTGAGGACTGGGGCTATATGTCAGTCATCTTTGTGTTATTCTGGGGACTAGCACAGTGCTAGGCACTCAGTAGGTGCTTTCTGAATAAAAGGTGATTGGATTGAAATGTTGATCAGCCCAAGTAGGGGTGACTTCACCATCCCTGGAGCTCTTGGTCAGCACTCTTCAAGCCAAAACACATTCTGCTTTGAGATGTAGCTGTTTGTGTACTTGTCTTAACTCTCCTTAGACCGTAAGGTCAGGGATGGTAGGGGTCAGGCCTTCCAATGTGTCACTCCCACAGCCTCTGACACAGTGCCTTGAACACAGTAGCTGCTCCATGTGCTTATGCTAAATGAATGAATGAATGAATGAATGAATAGACAAATGCTGATTAACGAGCCTAAATGTTCATAGAAAGGGTACTACCCCCAGCCTAGTAGAGAAGAGATCTGTAGACCTTTTATGTTAAGAGGCAACGCTGGTCCCCACCTATTCTGCCAAAGCCCCTCTTGTGGCACTGTTCTTCAGGTCCGCAGGGCTTAAAACAGGTGCTGGGCAAGACATATGTGAAATAGCTGCCTATACTTCAAAGCCCACTCACCTCAGCAGCTTCCCATCACTACTTAAATGGGAGGAAAGTCAGCTCTAATCCCCAACCAATCCACCTAGCACCACAGCATGTCCCATCAGGAAACTGACACCTCTGTTAAACCCATCTCTCACAAGTTTGGTTCTGGGCCCTTGGAAGACATCAGCTAGCTAGGGGAGATTCAAAGCCCAGTGACTATAGAGAGGGACAGCTTGGTGCATCTTCAATGATTATACAAATTATGCCTGGCTTCCTTTAGTGACTTCTAAGGCGACCTGTTATCATGAACCAATATTGAAGGGCCACAGGACATACAGAATAGGATGAAGAACGTCATAGAAAAAACGTGGTGTTTGTTCTCAAGGGCCCAGGCTTTTAACTCGGCATTATTATCAGAGCAATGGGCTGCTCTGGAGAGATGGTCTTAGAAACTGAGCTATTTATAATTCATTAAATGACTAAGGGGCACTTTTAGTTTTGGGGTGTATGTGTGTGTTTCCTCCCTAAATCCAACACTAGAAAATGTAAATGGGAGCTGAATTTTAAAAGACTGATCTCTGTTCAAAGTAAATTCTAAACTCTTAGATCATTATCCTTGAAAAGGAGGACAAATCTTTTTTAATGAGCCCTCCTAATTCTAGTTCCTCTGTGGATTTCTCAGGAAATTATTTCTAGATGAAATAATGTTTTTTCAGGCAAGTTTTTTCTGCAGGAGATTTAATGGTGTGACTGGCATTTGAGATGAAAATAACTATTAAGGACAGAAAGTAGCATTAGGGAGGAAGTACCTTCCATGCATTAAAGAGGAATATTGAATACCAATACAGCAAACTTTCAATTAGCTAAGGAAAAAGGGCAGCATGAAAACTGAAGTCAGCCCCTCCAAACCTCTCATTTTACCAAGTCCCTGTTCTTCCTTCCCCAATTCAAACTGTTAACATCAGTGTTAATAGCAATAGCATTTTATAGGACTATTGATTTTTCTCTCTTATTTTCTTTCTTCCTTTCAAGCTACGTTGAAAAACTAGAAGACAGAAATCCGGAGTCATGGACTGCTGTTTCTACACTGAAACTGATCACCAAACGATCAAGAATTCTCAAATTTGAGTGAAGAATGTAGCCAATTCAGTTCAATGAAAATCTTACCCCCTGTAAAATGAGACTGAGCTAGATCAAGGGAGGGGTCTTTCCTTGGGGTCCATGAATTTTAAAAAAATATTTTGATAACTATATTTCAATATAATTTGATTTCCTTATAATTCTCAGTATTTCATTTTATGCACGTAAAAACATTATTCTAGCTTCACCACACTGCCCCAGGAGTCTATGACACAGAAAAAGTTAAGAACCACTCCCCCTAGAATACTACTGTGTGGTAAGAAATGATGGGCAGGTTGCTTTTAGGAAAACATGGAAAGACCTGAATGAAATAATAAAGAGTGAAATGAGCAGAACAAAGAGAACATTGTATACAGTAACAGGAATACTGTTCGAAGAATAGCTGTGAAAGACTATGTTATTCTGAGTATTATTAAAACTCAAATTAACTACAAAAGAACTATCTACCTCCAGAGAAAGAACTGATAAAAAGAATTATATGCACAGTATGGTTTTACACACACATACATATATGCCTACACATGCACACACATATATACACGTCAAAATGCTGGTCTTCTCTAGTGCAGGGTGGGAAGGGAGGTTAGGAGACAGTTCAGAACTTAAAATGTAACAAAAAAAATAAAATAAAATTACAAAAAAGAAGAAGAAGAAGAACCACTCCCCCATCGCTTCTCCCTTGGTCTTGATGAACTTTTAAGATGGATTTTTAAAAACCTATTTTAACCCCTTCAGACTCCAAGAACAGCATCAAAAGAGAACTGGAGGCTTTGTCAGAATAGATGGGGGAATGGCCCGGTATTGCCAGCACTTCCTATTAACATAAAAAAATTTGTCCCTTTTCTCAAGGATGGTGATCTAGGGATTTAAAATTTGCTAAATTTGAACAGAGATCATCAGTCTTTTTAAATTCAATTCCCATTTACATTTTTTAATGTTAGATTTAGGGAAAAAACAAACAAACAAACAAAACTATCTTTAGGTCCATTTAGGCCCATCCATTCTATTCTGTTTATCAAGTATGTGCCCTCCATAATTCTCTAGAAGGCACCTTCTCTAGAAACTCTGCTCATCTAACAAATTGGAAGAGTCATCCTCCTCATATATAAAATCCAGATCCTCAAGACATGCCCTGTCTGAAGAACAGCTGCTAATAGGGGCATGGGAGGGACAGTGATGACTTGGCAGCCTGGGTGGGCTTTCCTTAGGAGAATTAAAGCAGTGACATATGTCATGGGGACAAGAGGACAGCTTTAGATGGCGAGGGACAAAGGACTGGGAGAACTGAAAAGCATCTGGGTGAAAATGTCTCATGGAGAGATTCCATGCCAGAAGAAATCGACATCATGGAAGACCCAGGGAGTTGTTGAAGGCTGGGCTTCTTTTGGCTTTCTGAAATAGTCTCCATTGCAAGGGTAAGTCACTAGAAAGCCAATATTAGGTTTCACCAGTCAGCAACAACAGACGTTGAAATGCTTTTTCCAAACCTCCAAATTTAAGCTATAACAATAAATCTTCTTTAAAAAGTATTCATATAGTATGAACTATCAGTCTTGGGACTTTGCTTCATGCAGTTAATTATAAACCAATACTGATCTGCTCTATTCATAAACTTTCATGTTAACCTGACAATTAAATATTAACTTTTTAGGTAGGCTGCAAGGTTTAGTCTCTCATAAACTACTGTTTACAGGTATACCTAACAATTTAAACAGATCCATGTACATTAGCAAGGAACCAGATGGCTGAGAGTTCAATTGTGCCCTGAGGCTGATATGATGTGAGCTATACTACTGGGGTAAACTTGTGAAATGCTCATTAAGAGTCACTGGACTGATCCCATTTTGCTGTTATCACTTCCTCTGTATTTATCTACCCCCCATGTCCTGTGTGTACAACACACACACTGTCTCATTCATACTATCATGTATGTTTAAGAGTAGAATATAAGCTCCTTGAGGGCAGGGACTGTTTTAAATAAACTCACATAAATGCTTGTTGGATTGCACTGGATTGGCTCCATGAGGCTGACTTTGCATTAAGACCAAAGATCACCTAGCCCACCTCCTTCATTTTGCTGATAAGGAAAATGTGTCACATGACAGGTATGTAGCAGAATCAGAATTTAACCTTATGACCTCTGACTAACTATAAATCTGAAATATTTTCCAATAAGATGAGCAGTGAGAAACAAACAGGAAAAAAAAAAGGGAAAAGGAAGAGAGAAATAAGTGATTCAACTAATCAGTCCTTGACCATGGGACACTACAAGAGAGAGAAAGAGGATGCTGGTCCCACCTTGCTATCCTTGTCTGATTTGGTGGCCAGACTACTTGCACCAGCAGATAATGCATTCTCAGGAGAAGGGAGGGCTGTCCCTGCCTGACCACTCAGTTCTGTCTCCAGAGATGTGGCAGGGATGTCAGGGGAGTTCACGGAAGTAGGTGCTGCACAGGCCAGTGGCACAGTTGGCCGGCTGAGACTGACAGCAGCAGCGACATAGGCAGCAGAGCTCGGAATCGGAGGCTGAGGTTGCTGATGGGGTAGCATGACAGTTGCAGGGCCAAGGCAGGCTGAATTCTGCACCTGGATGGGCGTTACCGCAGCTGTGGGGCGTTCCTGGCTGTGAACAGCAACTAGTAGAGAGGGGAAGGAACACAAATCAAAACGTTAATTTTCTAATAAACATTACTTGTCAGGATGAGTCACTCCATTGTAACAGAACATGATAAAAGCTTGCTATTTTGTTTACCACGATAAGGCTCTATGGTGGGGGCTTCAAAAGTGTCTTGTCTCAGTCAAATACTAGGAAGAGTATTTCCAATTAGAGGTCAGATTTTTTTTTTTTAACTTATCCAGGGGCCCTCTGTCCAGCTAACGTCCAATGCTCTGGAAGGTGGGTAGGATTTTCATGATACCAGTGCCACTGGAGACAACTTTTTATGGCATCTTATTAACCAAGAGAGATAGCATTGTATTCCAAGCACTGGGCCAGAAAATCAGAAAGACCTGAGTTCAAATCTACTTCAGACACTTACTAACTGTGTGACTCAGTGTTAAGTCCCTTAACCTCTGCTTCACTTCAGTTTCCTCATGGTAAAAATGAAAATAATAAGAGCACTTACCTCCCACAGCTGTTGTGAAGATCAAATGAGATAATATTTGTAAAGAGCTTAGCACAGTGCTGGGCACATAGTAGGCGCTTAATAAAAGCTTACTCTTTTCCCCTTTGAGGGAACTGGGGGATTGGGACAGCAAGTGGCTAATTGTGGGAGCTGAGCTGACTCCATCTTGTGACTCAATTTTGGAGCTAGCTCAGTTCCCTTTCTATTCAATTATGGGTCTCATCCAACTTCTGTGTTGTAAGAAAACTCTATTCAATTGTGGGATTTGGGACAAAAGGTTATTGCATTGTTTGAACCTAGGCCTGCATGGCTAAGAGGCTGGACCACCTCTACCTATTGCTTAGAGGCCCTTTACTAAGGACCTAGGTTATGCTGACCAGAAACCAAGATGGATCCAAAGATTGGTGCAAGGAATTTTCTTGTATTTGTGTATCTCAAGTAACCCATATGTCTTATCTAAAAACTGGCCCTGTACTGATCAATCATTTATTATTTCCTATGTTCCTTTGATTTTTCAAAAACATTTTGGGGGGAGTGGGATACCTCTTTTTCTGAATTTGGGGAATTTCACCTATTTGCTCTCCCCTTCTCAATTTGGAAAGTTTCTAGTCTTTGACCCAATTAGAAATCAGATTACCAAATGTAGTTTCCTTTTAATTAATTGGCCTTATTTGATTGGGTTTTGTTTTGTTTTGTTTTTGCTTTTTGGTGAGGCAATTGGGGTTGAGTGACTTGCCCAAGGTCACACAGCTATGAAGTATCAAGCGTCTGAGGTCGCATAAATGAACTCAGGTCCTCCTGACTCCAAGGCTCTATCCACTGTGCCACCTAGCTGCCCCGATGGTTTTCAGTGTATAAAAGTTTGTCTCCTGCTGTATTTGAATTCCAGGCCTAAACTGAGGAGGTCTGCTTCTGCTTTGTTAGGCAATTGCCATGCATTGCTTAATAAATCAATATGCTTGCAAGTTTGAACCTTTGTTTCCTCAGTCACTTCATCTTTCTCCTGCTACATTTTCTTCCTTCCATCTCTGGTCACTCTCTGAAAGCCCACATATGTCTGATAGGTACTAACTATGGGATCTTGGGTCAGTCCTTCCCCTTTTTAAGTCCCATCAACTCTTTCAAAACACATTTCTGATACTTATCAACTATCAAGCAAGTCCAACACTCTCTGGGCAAGTCTCTAAAACTTTAAGGTATAATCAGCTTGCACACATGCAGGTGGCAGGAGTTTCCAGACCAATGAATTCACAGATTGCTGATATACTGCCCAACTAAATGCATGGTTCTCTGGTTTCCACTCTTCCTCTTTTCAATTCTTTTTAAACCTTTCATTATTTACTCTAACACTTCGGCTATTCAGCGGCACTCAAAAGTTTTGTTTTGCCCCATTGGTAGGCCCTAGCACTCTTGGGCAGTGGTAAGGACTTCTCTTGATGCAGGGTAGATAACAAGGTGGGGAGACCGATTTCTTTTGTAATTCATGTATCAGAATCATGAGAGACAGTCCGGCATTATGGATTGAGAGCTAGCCTTGGAGTCAGTAAGACCTGGGTTCAAGTCCCCCTTCTGATGCATACTATCTGGGTGACCCTGGGTAAATCACTTAATCTCTCTTGGCTATTATGGGAGAGAGATTTTCCTCACTTGGGAATTCCCCAGACCAAGGAAGCCACAGGTTCAATCCCTGTCCCCTATGTTAGAATCATAGGATCACTGGACTTTAAGCTAGATAGGACTTTCAATCAATCAATCAGTCAATCAATAAGCATTAATTAAATGTCAACTATGTGCCAGCATCATACTAAGTTCTGGGGGATAAAGGGCTTACAAAGCACCAAAAGTCCCAGCCCTCAAGAAGCCTACATTCTAATGGGAGAGACAACTTGTAAATAAATGCATACAAGATATATACAGAGGAGATGGAAAGTAACCTTGAGAGGTAATAGTTTTATCTTTTATGTAATCTATTCTTTAAAAAATGCACATGGGATATCTGTAAAGTACTTAGCAGCACAGTGTCTGGCACACAGTAGGTACTAAAATGCTTGCACCCTTCTTCTAAACCCCTTTCCCCTTACCCTTAGAGGGGAAGGCTACACTGTTTAAAAAAAAAATCATCTAGTCTAACACCCTCAATTTACAGATGATGACTAAGGCCCAGAGAGATGAAGTAATCTGCCTCTGATTGCACTGCTAGCATACAAATCAAGCTTGGGTCTAGATTCATGAAAAAATACACACTAGAGAGTCAGCAAACTGATTGGAAGCTCAGTCCTGACGAAGCAGGGAGGAGTGAGTATGATGGGACAGGAGACAAAATGATGTCTGAGCTCCAGGTCACAGCAGTCTGATACCTCTAGGGTCTCAGATCTGTCGGTCAGTCTGTTACTGATGTATATATGCCTGGCATAAGTCCAAGCGAGGCGAGGTGGAAGTCCATTTGATTGACTTGTCTCTGTCTCTACCTCCTAATGTTATTCATGACTTAAAGGTCACATGGACATTTCTAAAGGTCACGTATGGGAGTGGGAGGGTGTTCTGATGACTGTCAGACAGACAGGCCATTGTGATGAAGCCCCTCACAGCTCTCTCTTTACCTGTACGGACAGCATTTCGAGCTTGATTGACAGTCATCTGTCTGATGATGGGCATCAGAACCTTGGCCTGCGGACTTGTCTGGATATGGGCCGCTGACACCTCTACGGCGGGCCCCACGTTGGGACTCCCTGCTATGCCATTACCCTGGAGTTTCTGGGAAGGCCCTGTGGCAGTGGAGGGACTGACCATGGTCACCACGCGACCCAACTGGCCAGCAGTAGACACAGAGACTTTCCCCTGGGAAGCACTTGTCACAGATCTGTTAAAATAGACAAATAACATTTAAATAGTAAGGAAAGGGAAATAAATGTTGAGGAAGGCCTGTTCACGTAAATAATTGTACACAGAATGATCTCAAGTATAAATCTTGATTTGCACAAGTCGACTTAACTCAAATATCTACTAAGTATCTATTACATGCCAGGCACTATGATGAGTGCTGGGATTGAGACACAAAACCTGTCTTCTAGGGCAGCTAGGTGACGCGGTGTATGGAGCACCGGCCCTGGATTCAGGAGGACCTGAATTCAAATCCGACCTGAGACACATAACATTTACTAGATGTGTGACCCTGGGCAAGTCACTTAACCCCACTGCCCAGTCAAAAAACAAAAGCAAAACCAAACAAACAAAAAACCTGCCTTCAAAAAGCTTGCATTCTACTGAGAAGAAACAACATGTACAGAGTTAAGTAAATATAACCTAAATGTAGGAAATATATATATAGTATATTGTATATTTATGTGGTATATATAGCAAATATAATACTATATTTATATGATACAGTAGATATGTAATACTATATATAACATACAGGAAAAATATAGTATGATATACACATAAATGAATGTTTGTATATGTGCGCATGTGCACGCCCCCTCCCCCAATTTCAGAGGCTGAGAGGAGAGCTGGAGGAAAAGGAAAGGCTTTGCAGACATGGTAGCTACTCAGCATAGTCTTGAAGGGAGCTAGGGATGAGAAGAAGTAGAAATTGAAAGGAGACTAGGCAAAGACAGGAAGACAGTGTAATGCCATGTACCAGAAAGAGTCCTGATAGGGTAAAGTAGTAGGTAAAGAGGTAAGAGGAAGGGAAAAACATTCATAAAACATTTATATAGTATCTACTATGTGCTAGGTACTGTGCTAAATGTTTTTTTTTACAAATACAAATTTGATCCCCACACCTGGAGAGGTAGGTGCTATTACTGTCTTCATTTTACAGTTGAGGAAACTAAAGCAAACAAAGGTTAAGCGAATAAGTGTCTGAGGCCATTTGAATTCAGGTCTTCCTGATTCCGATTCCAGTGCTCCACTGTGCCACAATTGCCTCCAAATAAATCATCATCATCATCATCATCATCATGATATTTGACAGTAAGAAAGGCAGGCTGTTTCAGTGGCTAGAAAATTGGTGTCAGGATGACCTGGGTTTAAGACCTCTCAGTGCCCCAGGCAATTCTCTAAGACTTTAAGAATTCTTATGGAAGAGTTCTTTATTGGTACAGAAAGCTTCCAAATTGGGAGTCCTCCAAACTCACAGGAACAGATAAAAAATAAATTGAATGTCAACCTAGTCAAAGTCTTAGTACACATGATAACCTTCCAGGTAATCATTAATAATAATAATAACAACATGGAGAAATAGGATGAGGAAGGGGAGGAAAAGGAAGAGAAGGAGGACGAAGATTTAGGAAGGCAGAGGAGGAAGAGGGAGAAGGAAGATGGAAAAGTAGAGTGAACTATCCAAGATTATTTCTATCCAAATGCCACAGGAAAAGATAAGAACAACGGGATAAAGAAGAATAGCCAATTCAGAGACTGCCTTAGAATTTTCAAAGCACCTTATATTCATTATCCCATTTAAACCTTATAACAACTGTTGGAGATTATCTCCATCATTAATTCCACTTTGAAGATGAGGGAACTAAGTGCCCACAGTCACATAAAGATAGTAACATTCAGGTGTGGTATTTCATAAGTCTACGTCCCTCTCCAACCCACCACACCCCTCACAACCCAGCCATATTATATGCCAAGGCTCACCATCACTTTTATTTACTCTAATAAGCTTACATGATTACTTCTATTTGACACATGAAAAATTCTTTGATTTCATCAGTGTTGTATTCTGCAGTGCACAGAGTGCTTGACTGTTTCAGGAAGACCCTAGTGCAAATCCTGCCTCAGATATCTGCCAGATGTGTGACCCTCGCAGGTCATTTAACGTACTCTCAGCCTTGGTTTCCTCGTGTGTGTAAAATAAAGATAATTAAAAGCACCTATTCCCTGGAATTGTGGGGAATCAAAGGAGACAGCATATGTAAAGACCTTTGCATGCCTTAAAGCACTAGCTACTATTAAGTTTTATATAATGTTAAGTTAATGTAGAGTATGTATGAATATATTAGTATCATTATATAATTTTATCAATCATATTATGATTATTATATAATATTAATATATTACATTAATATGTTAACTTAATATGTCAACTTAGTAATATAAAATTATATAAGATACATAAAATCATATATATGATTTACAATGTATATTATATGATCATCATAGAATATTAAAAATATTAAGTATTAATATTGTTAATATAATTATAATAAGAAGTTTTTGATATTATTAATATAATTAACTATAATTAATATGCCATGTTATTATATTATATTAATATCTATTAAGTTACTCTAAGTGCTAGCTACTATTGTTTTATTCTTTCAATTCAGGTTGATTGCAACCCTCCAACACCTAGTATATATATGGTTACTATTGCCAAAAATACAGTCACCCTGGTGAACTTTTGGGTTATGAGGCTCTCTCAGCTTAAAAATCTGATCTGTGGATGAGAAGACATACAGGGTGTCTACATTTCCAGTGTTATTACTCTATATTCCCCTCCATGTATTCTATGACTATACAGACCTACCTACTTTAGTTCCTTGAACAAAACATTCTCCAAACAAAACATCTCCCCACTCCAGGTTTTTGTACTGGAGGTCCTTCCATGCCTAGAATGCTCTCCCCATTCACCTCTACCTTTTATCTTCTCTGGCTTCCTTTAAGACTCAGCTCAAATCACACCTTCTGGAAGAGGTGTTTCTGGTTTTCACTTCCTCTTTCTCCTCTCCTCTCCATACTGCTAAGTTCTGTCTCTCTGATATGACCTCCCATATGTACTGTACATATTTTGGAGGAACATAAGTGTAACTCTTCTTTTCACCCTTAGAATGTGAGCTCCTTGAGAGCAGGGACCATATTTTTGTCTTTGTATCTACCCCCCACTCCTTAGTTCAGTACCTGGCATACAGTAAGTTCTTAATAAAAGCTGGTTGACTGACTGATCAGGCCTGTAGACAAAGCCTTTTCAGCTTGCTAGGCCTTGTCAGAGTTTATCCTTCCTTTGGCATAAACCCATGGCCAAAACCCCATGGTTACTTCCAAGATGAGACACACCAGAACATGTCTTTAGTGGATGATGATAATAATAGAACAATTTACCTTTACTGAGCTAAAAAATAGTGAACTCAAAATAATGCTGACCCTTAGGCACTGCATAATTTTGAAGTACATTCTGAACCAAAGAAAGACCAAATCACTAAATCCTTTTTCAGCTTAGGAAATTACAATGACTCAAAAAGTTACAGTGATTCCCTAATTCCTGGTATAACAAATTCAAACTTTTCTACCTGTCTTTCCAGGCCCTCCATAATTTTTCTTTACCCATCCAGTCTGGAATCCTTATATGTATATGGTATTTCCCCTGATAGAATCTAAACTTCTTGAGGGAAGGGATGGTTTCACTTTTGTCTTTCTATCCTTAGCATATAGTAGGTGCTTAGTAAACACTAATTAAGAACTCTGGGGAAGAAAAGATCAACCACGATTTCTGAGGACTGATGATGGAAAATGCTACTGTTTCTCATCTGACCCTTAATTATAACCTTTCTGTACTGTGGTTCTCTAACTGTTCTCCACTGTTTAAGACTCTCTTCTTGTGCTCTTGGAGATCTCTTCCATTCTATCTCAGACTTTATGATCCTAAGAGTATAAGTAATATACTCAGGGTATGGACACTGTTACACAGTTCTTTTGCATCCCCCACAATGTTTTAACCCTGTGTCTGGTAGGCCTAGAGTACATACTGAAATACCTGTTAAATGAAATAAATTATCTTTTAGCAGTGTTATTCAGAATAGCAACAAACCATAGACCTACATCCAGCGATTAAGGAATTGCTTAACAAATTACGGTCTATTGTGTGGGAGAGAGGAAACTGTGCTAGATTTGGAGTTAACTAATCAACAAGCATTTATAAAGCACCCACTGTGTACTGCAGCGCCACTGTATTTCACACTGGGAACACAAATAAAAAGAATGAAACAAAGTGAAATGGGATTCAAATCTTCACTTTGCCACTCACCATCTTTAATTTGACATTTATGACCCTTACTTATAAAATTTCTGGAGGTTGGATTTAAATGACAACTGAAAAAGGACACATTTAAATTTACTTATGTGTAAACCAAGGCATGTAATCTGAAAAGCAGTCCATTAATGAGGCCAGATCTATGTATCCACAGATAATCTTCAGATACTCATGTGAAAAGAATCTGTGCAGAAACACTGAAAGAGAAAGAACTTGTGTTGTATAAATTGTCAACAGAAAAACAGATGATAGATTCTGCGGCCACATATGGCTGGCTGGGTGACTGGGCAAATCCCTCAACCTCTCAGTGCTTGAGGGAACTCTGTGACTTTAAGTTGCAGAGAAAATGCCCACCCATACAACGTTTCCTCATTTGGAAGTTCTCTGAACCAAAGTGTCATAAGAACTCACCCCGTCCTATGTAAGCATGGCAGGAATGCCATAACTAAGAATGTGATACAGCCAGTGAATGAAAAAAAAAAGCTATTGTTTAGAAGTTTTGAAACCATCAGTTTAACACCGTACCTTGTGACTGGTGCTACATAGTTTCCAGGAAAAACTCCTATCTTGCTTGTGTGCATAGAAGTCCCTTTGAACCAGCCATCCTGACATCGTTCAAACACTAGAAACATCTCCCCCTTTCTCAGCTCCAATTCATCCTCTTTCCGGGGTGTATATGGATAAATAGCAACATACCTAGGGGGGAAAGAGAGGTTATCAGATTGTTTAAAAGAAATAATATTAGAAATGTTTGATTCTTTTTATTCAGTAATTAAAGCTAGGACAATAAAGAAATTTCTATGACCCCCTAATTCAAACATTTACAATTTCATGTTTTATCTGAAATATATCTAATTTGTCAAATCTTCAAATATATGCCAATCTTTTTTTAAGAAGAGAAGATGCAGGAATCAGCAAAATATATCTATAATTTGGGGACTTCTATTGGTACATTTGGCAACATACATGTGATTCTGTAGCCTGAAGACAGGCAAAGTATAGATTCAATTCCCCCACATCAGACAGAAAACCCATTTTAGGGACAAAGAGTGAGGTCCATATTTTGGGATGGTTGTCTAGAATTACAGGGACTCAAACCTACCCCAATATCAAAATACAGTAGTTCTTTAATGTCTATAAAGGACCTTTCTACAATATTTAGCACATTTGTTTTCCTCCTTTGAATACTTCCAGTGTCTTATGTTGTTTTCTGAGAGAAAGAAGCTCTTGTGACATTCTGGACATTTCTAGAGAAATTTACATTCTCTAGGTTATACATGTTCTAAAAATCCTCTTTAAACTTCAGTCTAGCCATGACCATTTTAAGCAGAATTTTCAGCTTAGCTAAAATTACCAAGCACCTCTTTACCTTTGAACAGTTACTTTACCAGCAAATGCAAAACTATACTGTCTTCGTCATATATGATTTTAATGTGGACCCGGTGAAAACACAACGTGCTACATTAGATTACAAACAACGTGGATGAATTATGACTAAACCCTATGAAAATCTCCAGGATACTCCTGAATTTTCCCTAGAGATGCTGAGTTTTTAACCAAATGTAGCTACTTGATAAAAGCTTTAAATCTCAAAATGGAGCCAGGAAATCCTGTCAGGTGAAAGAGTTTTGATGGCTTGTCTAGGAACCATGAAAACTGCTGAATAACTTCCTGATAAGAATTACTGAACTAGACTTTCCCACTGTTTGAGAAGCTGGCATACCAGAGGGTTCTCTAGTGTCGTGAAAGAATTCATTCAGCCTCTAAGAAGGCCAAGGTTGCTCTCAGGGAGTAGCTATCCCCCTGGGCAAATCTAGCTGCCCAAAAGGCACTTGTGAGAAATAGACTCTAACTCCAAATGGAGATATGTGGTGTCAGTTACTATCAGGAGGAACAGCATATGGTGGTTGCTAACTCAATGGACAAACATACAGAGACTTCAGTAGAATTTGTTTCCTATGTTAAGCTGGATCTAAAAAGGAAAGGAGGCATGGAAAGAGAGTGCATATTGATAAACAAAATATCCCATGTTGCAAGATTACTTTGCTCACATTTACCTATTTTCCACCAAACTGATACCCGCCAATACTAACAGTTCTCACAGTATAAAGAGTTCTTTCCCCAGTACTGTGATCTTGGGTTTCCCAAAGCCTCGCTTATCATATATGTTTTCTTCCAAAGCTTGCTTAATCTATGAAGTCCATTGATCACCTTTTCTATTTTTTATTGAGTATAGAGAGATAGAGAAAAAGATCAGTTTGAGATGTGTTGTTGCTGGGAAGTGAGACACAAGTCACAGCATCTTTCAGAATTCTCTAGTTAGTAAAGCAGTTACTATTTTACAAAGACCAGAGGGCGTGATAGTGTGAGGTTAAATGAGTTTTCCTTATCATAGTATCTCTTTCAATTCCTTTTCTATTTAAGGAAGTAGAACCATGAGAAGATTTACCTAAGCTAGAGAGAATGAGGCCTAAAAACTAAAATGGGTTTCTGATCATAGGACAGGTAATGGATGAACTGAGATACTGAAGCACAGTCAGTAGAGGATAAGGCAGGTAAAAAAGAAGTGGAGAAGGAGACTTGCCCCCAAGTCCAACACTATCTACTGTACTACCTAGCTGCCCTTTTTATTTATTTATATTGCTATTAATTAAAATTCCTTTGTTGTCAACTCAGTGTGTTCTGTGGCTGACTGGTAAAAAAAATTAAACATAATGGCAGGGACTAATGAGCTATAGTTTAGAGAGAATTCTGATGTATAAATTTACTTAGATTCTAAGGGGATGGGGAGGGTCAGCAAATATCATGTTGTTTTGGTAATTACAGCATTATATTACAATCTGAGAACTCGTAATGCCAAACTTCTTATCCCCCCACTCCCTCAATTATCCTTGGCCCATTTCTCGTGTCAAATCCCTTCTTTCCTATTACAAAAACCATATCCTGAGCTCTTATCTTGACTTTTCTCTCTACAGTCTTCTTGGAGATCTCATCAGTCCCCATTATTCACACATGTGGGCACCCCTACATACATATAGATATACACATATGGAGATATACAATACATATATATATGTGTGTATATGCACATGTGTATCTACTTGTCTATATTATGCATACATACATGCATCTCTCTGTATGTATCTACCTGTATCCATGCATATATGTATTTATCTGTATGTACATATGTAAGCGTCTATATGCATGTATGTCACTATCTATCTATCTATCTATCTATCTATCTATCTATCTATCTATCTATCTATCTTCCCTAATCTCTCTCCTGAACTACAGTACCATAGCACCAAGTACTAGATATTTCTCCTCCTAGTCTTCACCCACATCTAAAATGGAGCAAATTGTGTTTTCCCCCTGCTAAACTGTGCCTTTCCTTGGGGCAGCTAAGTAGCACAGTAAGCAGTGCACTGGGCCTGGAGGCAGGAAGACTCATTTAAATTTAGTCTCAAATGCTGCCCTTGGGCAAGCTGTTTAACCCGTTTGCCTCAGCTTCCCCATCTGTAAAATGGAGGCAATAATACCTCTCTCATGGCTGCTGTGAGGATCAAGTGAGATAAAAATTGTAAAACACCTGGCACAGTAACTGGGCCCACAGTAAATCCTATATAAATATCAGCTATTATTAGTAGCAGTATTATTATTTCCTCTAAACTTCCCTATTTCTCTTGAAAGTACCACTGTCCTTCCAGTTTCCCAGATTCTCAAACTCTCATTCTTGACTCTGTTCTCTGTCATCCCCATATCCTGTCAGTTGCCTAGACTTGTAGACTCCTCAAAATCACCTACACTTGTCCCTTTTTTCCCTACTTGAACTCAAACAGCCACCACCTTGTTTCAGGTTCCCATCACTGCTTACCTGGCAATCACCTCTAAATGGTACTCACTACTTCCAGTCCCAGCCACTCTCTAGCCCATCCTGCACCCCTTTTGCTTTAATCTTCCTTAAAGCACAGGTTTGTCCATGTCATTCCCCCACTAAAAAATCTTTTAATGTCTTCAGGATAAAACACAAACTTTATAGTTTCATACTTAACATCCTTCATAACAATGATGATGATGATGATGATGATGATGATAATAGCTAACATTTATATGGTGCTTATACTGTGTGTACTTTATTATCTCCTTTGATCCTCAAAACAACCCTGGGAAGCAGGTTGCTATTACTATCCCCCTTTTACAGATGAGGAAACTGAGGCAAATACAGGTTAAGTCACTTGGTCACAAAGGGAAGGTCACAAACTGCTACTAGTAGGCAGGCAAAATATTAGTTACTTAGCCTTTTACAACAGTCACACTAAATTCCAATTGCTTTCTATTGTCTCCAGGATGAAATATAAAATCCACTGTTTGGCTTTTAAAGCCCTTCATCACCTGGCCCCTTCCTACCTTTCCAGTCTTGTTACACCTGATTCCTCTCCATATATATACTCTATGATCCATATGCATTAGCCTCCTGATCATTCCTTATATACGACTCTCCATTCCTGACTCCAAGCATCTTCACTGGCTGCCCCCAAGCCTAGAACTCTCTCCTTCCTCATTTCCACCTCCTAGCTCCATTCAAGTCTCTGCCAAAACCCCAAAGCTCCAAGAAGCCTTTCCCAGTCCTCCTAAATGCTAGCACCTTCCCTCAGAGATCACCTCCAATCTATCCTGTGTATATCTTGTTTGTGTATACTGGTCTGCATATTGTTTCCACCACTAGACTGTGAACTCCCCAAAGGCAAGGATTGCATTTTTTGCCCTTTCTTTGTATCCCCACCACTCAATATAATGCTTGGCAAGTAGTGTTTTATAAACGCTGTTAACTCAACTTGTTGGAAGACTCCACAAAATCCAGCTGTAGCCCAGCATCTGGTCACAACAATCTTGACAAGCCACTGTTCCTTAATGTTCAGTCCCTTTCCCTAGCAGTGCCTCCCTGCAACTAATTCTCTTGGTTATGGAATACTTGGATGGACTATTTCCAAGTCCATCAGCATCCCAATACAGCAGAAAATGAAAATGAAGGTGTGTGGGCAGGAGAGGCAGGAGCAGCCAATGCAACAAAAGGCTGTCTGGACTGTGACCTAACCCATGGTGGTACCTGACACGAAGGGCCTCCAGAGAGGTTAAGTATCAGACAGACTTGATCACTGCTGTTTCCCGATTAGATATACGATTACATGAAACCTTTCAGAGATCTTGGACAGCCTGAATCTCAAACCACCCAGTGAACTGGGCATCTGCCTGTCCCCAAGCCATAGCCAAGTCTTCCTCCTACCCCTTAACTATCTTCCCCACACTGCGGGCCTAATTTTAAACAAATATTTCATGGTTGGCTGGCTGTGATGGCCACTTACACACTGGGTCGAGTCTGGGGCCGTAAATGTGCAATTTGGTCAGCAGATCCTGCAGGTCTCTGTCCGACTCCAGATGCCACAGCAGCTGAAGATGGTGGGGCGACGACAGTGGCAGCCAGAAGAGGGGGTGGGGGTAGAGGAGGATTCATATTCTAGTATTGGGGAGGAAATACAGAGAAATAAAATTATTGAGGATGGGTGAATGAGTGGGGGAAAAAAGGAACCACAAATCAGGGGTAAACATTTTAATGGAGCCTTCCTCATGGTGCTGAATTGTGAGGCTGCTTCCTGGGAAGGGCTGACTGTACAATTCTACTTTTTTGTTGCTCTCTTTTTGATTCTCCTTTAAGGCCCACATGCCTTTTTAGCAAACAGGTAAGTAATCTCACTTCAGCAGGGGAAGGGGGAAAAATTGAAAGGGCCACAGGTGATTTTGAAGGTAAACAGCATTTTCAAATAAGCCCCTGGAGCAGAATCCAACTACCTTTTAAAGGGGCAGCTCTAATACCCCACTGCTTGATAGGACTTAATCTACAATTGCTTTGATGCCTACCCTACAATGAGCATAAATAAAAGCAGGACACAGCCACTGGGCTATTGTTGCCATTTCTAATTATTTTTAACTTTGCCAGCTTTTGAAAATCAGCACTATCAAGGTTGGTAATCTTTAACAAGTATACCAGTGAAAAGCTGCTGGTTCTTTTATGGGCACGGCCTAATGGGGGCCCAGCCTGCAGGATTCCATTCCTTTTGAAAATCAATGGGGCAATTGTTACCTTCTGATCTATAAAACCCCAGATCATTCTTTAGGGTCTGTATAGTGACACTCCTGGGAAAGCAGGCTCACAAAAGCAGTCAGCCCCAAACCATCTTTGAACCACTAGCGGGGGAAGAAATGATTCAAAAGAGAGGTAAAAATAAAGAAGGGCCTAAAGAAAGCATAAATTGGCTCCTATACATCAGCATGATTATAAAAACAAACCATTAATTTCTAGCCACAGTTCACAAACAGCCATCTCATTTTTAGTTCTTGGAATCAGAATTTAAATTTCATCAAGCAGTGACTTCGCAAGCTTGTCGATGCACACACGTGGTTCCCAAAGCTGGGTGGGAAAGAGCTCGGATTTCTAGACATATGCTGCAACTGTTTCACACATTATTTTTAATTTCAAGCCAAAGTGACTTGTAGTTAGTCTTCCCCTACCCCTGCCACAGCAGCTTTATGCCAGTTGTTACGAAGCACAAAATGAACAAACCAGATCATGAGCAGAACAGTGCTAACAGGGGCCAGGAAAGCACCAGGGCTGTTCACAGAATTTCACTCCTTTCCGGAGAAAAGTTTTCTCACACTCTTACTACACCAACTGGCAGACAGAACGTGAGTCACTGCTTTGGAATCCGGTTCTCTTGAAGCTTTTAGTACCTCCCCAAACCTGTAAGCTGCCTAGGGTCACTCTCCCACTCCATCTGACTCCTAACAGAGACAAAACAGAAAGTGGAGGGAAGGAGACAGCCCCCAGGAAAATGCTGAATTAGGAAATATCTTCCTACCCAGATCTAGGGGAGGGGAACAGTACCAATGGCCTGAGGAGGAGAAGATAAACAAGCCCAGACTGAACAGAGATTAAGATCAATAAGAAAACTATAAAATGGGTGTTTAGGAAAGAATGCTAGATTTAGAGTCATTTGCTACCCAGGTAATCCTGGGTTAAGTCTTTTAATGTCTCTTGGCTTCAGTTTTTTTCATCTGCAAAATAAGGTGTGGCCTTTCAGGTCCTATTATAGTTTAAAATCTGATTCTCCTATGATCTTACTTTCATTAAAATTTTTCAGTTCTCAAAGCAGGTTGTTAACTGAGGACAAAAGCAGAACATGCCATGTACCCAAATAATGACAGGTCACCTAAGAGCTAGCTCTAATCCAGTGAAATCCAAATCAAAACACAGGCAGAGTTCTAATTTAGTGTTGAAGTGAATGAAAATCATTGTGTATATGGAAATATCATAAATCAATAATGTAGGTGGGAGGTAGGTTGGACCTCTCAGGACCCTTCCATCTCTGAGCTTCTCAGAATCTCTCCAAGACATGCAGAAGCACACTGAATCATTTATATCAAATGCATATATGTAAAGCAAACACTAGGTGTATAGTAACTACGCAAACAGTGACCGGATGGGGGATAAGGGAGAGCATAAGGATGTATTCCAGTTGTTCCGACAGGTTGGAAATTGGTCCCCAAGAGTGTAACTACAGCATTACTCTTCTGTATTTGAATGCTTTATAAATTATTAATAACACTGGACTTTTCTGACATGCACAAATGATGTTTTGGGGATAGAGGCATAGGTATAGAGACAGACATAACGGTCCACGCTGTTACATGGAAGAGGAGTAAGAATCATTCTCTGAGGCTCTAGAAGGCAGAATTAGGACCAGCAAGTAGAATATAAGGGAAGGCATTTTTTTTTGGCTGAAGAGAAAGAAGAATTAAATAATGACTAAAGCTTTTTTGAAAAAAAAAATGGTAAGAATAGTATAGAAAAATAGTGAACTCCCTGTCACTGAAAGCATTTAAGCCAAGAGTGGCTGACTGGCCACCTATCTGGCATGTGATACAAAGGATTCTTGTATTGGGTGGAAAGTTGAATGCATAATCTTGAAGGTGCCTTTCTATTTGCAGTTCTATGATCTTATTAAATTAGGCAAATGTTTATTAAATGCCTATGGGGTACTGGAGACACTGAGTCAAAAAACCCTAAGGCCCTGCCTTTAGGTAGCTTATATTTTTCATTGAGGTGAAACAACATGAAGGCTTATAAGTAAACACAAAGCATTAATAAAGTAAAAACAAAGGATTTTGGTGGGGCAGGATTACCAAGTGGGGGGAGGAGTAAAGAAAAGGCTTGTATAGGTGGAAGCAGTTGAGCTGGGCTTAAGCCAGACAGACGTAGATATGTGAAGTAGGATTCTGGGTTAGTAGATATTATAAAATGATGGTGCCCAAGGAAGATAATAGACTATGAAATGCCATGACTTGTTTTGTAAATGACCATTGGCAAACCCAAATTATCTGGTGAAATGGGAGTTCACAAGGTGATATAGTAATATTGATCTTCAGATAATACACTATCCCCAAAGATCTGAACTCCTTTTTTTTTTAAGGCAATTGGAGTTAAAGTGACTTGCCCAGGGTCACACAGCTAGTTAAGTGTCAAGTGTTTGGTCTGAGGCCGCATTTGAACTCCGGTCCTCCTGACTTCAAGGCCAGTGCTCTATCCACTGCACCATGAAGCTGCGCCACCGCCCCCCCCATTTATTTATTTATTTGCTCGATTTATTTATTTATTTGTTTGGGCCAGGCAGTGGGGTTAAGTGACTTGCCCACGTTCACACAGCTAGTAAGTGTTATGTGTCTGAGGCTGGATTTGAACTCAGGTCCTCCTGACTCCAGGATCAGTTCTCTATCCACTGCGTCACCTAGCTGCCTCAGATCTGAACTCTTCACAAAGCATCTTACAATAGTGTGCTGGCTTCATCACAGTTGATCCAGAGCCCTCTCATTTTACAGCTCCCACCAACCCAAGCACCCTTTATTAACAATCAGAAACAACTTTAATAATTTCCAAGGACCACTAATACGACATTGTGAAAGATATCAAATTTCACTAAGCACATTTAACATAATACTCTATACGCAAATGCACCAATGGAGCTGGGATTTCAACCGTGTAAGAATTCCCTTTAAGGATGCAAAACTCACTTTATAGCTACCACCAGCCCAAGCACCCTTTACCAACAATAAGAAGAAGTTTCTAAAACTTCAAAAATAAAACACTTTTAAAGCTGTCGAATTTTATTAAACACATTTAATATAATACTGTACACTCAAATGAGCCAATGGAACTGGGATTTCTTTCATATTGGAATACCCTTCAAGGAAACATATCATCAGTCATTCATGAATTACCATCTTGGGCAATTCTAGTCTAAGTTTTCCCAAAACTCTGCCAGAAGGAGGTCTACCCAATGTGCTGTCTATTATGAGGATATCATGGGAGCATATGAGTTTTCCATCAGCTTGTTCCTCACTCACACTGCATGGACAGACCATCTTCTTTTATGTTCATAATGAAATCCTTTTATTCTAGATCTTTTTCATAAGTCCATAATTATATTTATTGCAGCCTGTTCCCACTCACCATGACGAACAGACTGAGTCTGCTTTCTGAGGATCATTCTAAGTACACAGATGCCCCTCACTACTAGGGTGGCCTAGTGAACTCAGTGAATATTTCTTTAGCTGCTATTGTTCAGCTGTTTTTCAGTTGTGTCCAACTCTTCATGACTCCATTTGGGGTTTTCCTGGCAAAGATATTGAGTGGTTTGCCATTTCCTTTTCCAACTCATTTCACAGATGAGGAAACTGAGGCAAATGGGGTTAAGTGACTTGCCCAGGGTCACGCAGTTAGTAAGTATCAGAGACCACATTTGAACTCACATCTTCCTGATTCCAGGCCAGGTAGTCTATCTGCAGCGCCACCTAGTTGCCATTCTTTGGCCATGAAAACCTATGAAACAAATATTTCTAGGGATTCAAATAAAGGCACAGGTGAAGAAAAAAAACCGTTCTGAAAATATCACTTCTCTAATAAATAGATTAAGTCCTACTAAATGGAGAGAAGCTTGAGAAATTACCCACCATGGAGATTTCTGGTCCAATAAAACCCACTGCTTTATTGGTCCAGCAAAATCTATTAACAAGCAATGTTGGCAATTCTTCCTGGTGTCTACTTTAAAAGAACTCTCACAGCCACCTCCTATGTAAAACATATACAACAAGCTCAAATTCTGAAAAATACTAGAAATAATTTTCAGTCCACATTCTGATCGCATCTGCAGTCTAAAAAGCTGCACAACCAGACATAAGTCTTTCCTTAAGGGAACCAGCCCCCAAGACTTTCACTGGACATGGCATTACAGATGCTAAACCCAATCCCAGCTAAATAACAACCCCCTTTGCAACATCTTCCACTAACGGAAAACTAGAGGTCTTTGGAGACTTCAAGCGAAGAAAAGCAAAATATCTTCAAAGCATCAAGACGGTGTAGTTGCTACAGTACAAGGCTTGGAGTACGGAAGACCCAAGTTCAAA